CCGAGGAGCAGCACCGCGTGCTTGAGGCGCTTTTGCAGCTGTCAAACAGTAAGCGCACATTCACTGCGCTGGTCACTGCAAACAGAGGCCGCGGCAAGACGTTCCTCGCGTACATTCTCGCGGCGCTGCTCAGCGCCAATCTGCAGAAGAAGGTGCTCTTCGTAGCGCACTGCGAAAGCGCGGTAGCCGAAGCGCGAAAACGCATCGCAGAATACCAGCGAAAGTCTAGCACCACGCCTGCGGCCTGCGCCTGTGTGTCCGCTTGTAGCGTTGCCGATGCGCTGGAATTTGCCAACTACGACGTCGTTTTCGTCGACGAAGCTGCGGCGCGAGGACGGCCCTGGCTCGAGCAAGTGCTCGCTGGCGCCCGCAAGCGGCAGTTAGTGCTGCTGACAACCCTGAACGGGTACGAAGGCACTGGGCGTGCATTCCAACACAAGTTCATGCGTCTGCTGCGCCCCCTCAAGGAGTTCCACGAGTTTTCGCTGAAGCAACCGCTGCGCTACTACGAGGGCGACCTGCTCGAAACCCTGACGTACGACCTTTTCGTGCTAAACTGTTGCGAACACGTGGGCGAACACGGCACAAAGGAGGGTCGAAAAATTGAGCAGTCCACCAAGCTCGAAACCGAGCGGAACGACGAACGCGAAAGCGAACGCAAAAGACATCGTAAACGCGAGCACGAAGGGGACCGCAAACGTGAACGCGAACTTGCAGAGCCGCCAGGTCAGTTAGACGTGAATGCGCTGACTTTCTGCGTGCTTGATAAAGACGTGCTATTCGCCGATCAAGAAGCTGTTCCATCGCTGCACGAGGTGTACGGCGTGATGGTCGACGCGCACTACAAAAACTCGCCCGATGACTTGCTGCTGCTCTCCGAGTGCGCTGACCATCAGCTCGCGGTGCTTACGGATGCAGCGCGCAACGTCGTCGGCGTCTGCCAGTTCGCGTTTGAGCTGTACTGCGGCGACTCCGTCGCCGCAAACGACCACGGGAACCTGATCTGCAGCAGACTTTTCCAGCTCACGCGCGATTCCGCCGTCGCGGAGCAGGCAGGGCTGCGTGTGGTTCGTATAGCAGTGCCCGAGCGCTACCAGCACCATGGCGTTGGCACGCACCTCCTCACGCAGCTCAAGCAGCTGTTGCGCGGCAGCTGCGCGCTGCAGGGCCTACCGCTTCAGCGCGAAGACCTACGAATCTCTTGGATTGGCGCGAGCTTCAGCTGGGCGCGTGAGCTGTTCAATTTTTGGACCAAGAATGGGTTCCGCGCAGTGCACTGCGGCGCCGTTGGCGCCGCGGGCGAGGCGTCGGTGCTCGTGCTGCACGATGCGGCCTCACTGGCCAGCGTACTCGGCTTCGACCTGGCGCAGCGGCTTGCGCACTGCGGGCACCTCGACTGCTACCGCAGCGTGCCTGCCGAGCTTGCTGCGCGCCTGCTTCAGCGCGCTGCGCCGCTCGGTCCGCTGCTGCGCGAGCAGCTGCTCGACTGCGAGAAGC